GGGGTGCCGGTGGGGGCGGGGAGTTCCCTCCCCCAGCCTCAGAAGGAAGCTTCTGCTGCGCGCTGCTTCCAGGGCTGACCCCCCCCGCGGAAGAAAGAAGCCTCGTTGCGCACTCCCTCCCCCCTCCCGCCGAGCAGGGAAGCCCACGCACGCGACCCCTCGGGGCCAACCCATTCCTCCCTCCCGCGGAGAAGGGGAGTCCCAGAGCGTGCCTCTGGGGACTTCCTGATAAGTGCTCCCTCCGGTGCTGACCCCCTCCCGAAGAGGAAGGAAGCCCCGTTGCACACTCCCTCCCGCCAAGCAGGGAAGCCCGCGCACGCAGCCCCTCAGGGCCCGAGCCCCTCCTCCCAGGGCCAGCTGCACTGCTCCTGATCCACCCTCTCTCTCCTCCCCCTTCCTGGGCCAGCTGCGCTGCACCCGATCACCTGCCTGGGGCACCCCCCACCTCTCCTATCCCCCTGCCCGGGGTTTGAACTCACCGCACTTGACGGGGCGGCAGGGTGATGTTGCTGCGTCCCTGACACCTTTTTCCTCGGGGTCCTAAGAGCCGCTGGTTTTGACTGCACAGCCACGCATGCATGGCAAACCCGGCGGGGTGCCCGTTCCCCAGAGTGCTGAAGCAGGCGGCCCTTTGAAACATTAGGGTGTGCCTGTGCACACCCGGCACACCCCGTGTGCACACCTATGATCCTGTCATGATCTTGAAAGAGCAACATGTGCCCATGTGTCCATGAGGTTCAATAATTGTCATTCCCACTCTGCATGGCTTCTTCACCCTCCTTGTAGCATGATCAGGAAGCTGCAGCCTGTCCACTTGCTGGCTTGAGCTACATTGATCACATTATCTTCATATCAGCTGCCAATGGAGTGACTGTCTTGGCCCTGACATCCCTTAAAGCCCCTAGTAGTGCAGGCTTAGATATCTGAGAGACCTGCTCCTTCATTCTCATTCTGGCAGGAATCCCCTTCAAAATCTATCTGTCAAGCCTCCTCCCTTTCACCTCCTCCAGATTATTCCTAAAGATGCACTCTTGCAGCAGCACAACTAGGTCTGTGCTTTACAGTAAAAAGAAAAGTGGAGCTATCAAAATTAATCTAGGATGCACAGTTGGTGGTGTTTGTTTCTATGCAATAGCATCCAAATTGCACTAGGCAGTATCCACATATGCACAGAGCGGAGGGAAAGGAAAAAAACATGTATCCAGGATGCATACCATTTGTAACAGATATACATAGGTTGCCAGGTGTCCGGTTTTTTTTGCTCAACAACTTTGGTCCCCGTGGTTTGGTTTGGTTTTTTGTTTGTTTGTTTTTTCTGCTCAACCAATTTTTTTCCTGCCATGTTGTTCGGTATTTTTTGTGAAACTATCTGGCAACCCTAGATACACGTCAGCAAGCCCAAGTTGCCATTTTGACTGGCTAGATGGCCTGTGTGTGGTAGGCATTGCAGCAGAGGTGGGCTTGGGGTGAACTGGAAGAAAGAGAAGGTAATGGTCTATCATCTCTTTGATAGAAAGCATAAACCCAGCTGTGGAGAGGCAGACAAATAGGTGGTCAAAACTGGTCGGGTTGGCAGATGAAAGGGGGTGGGGATATGCAATAAGAGACTAGCAGGGAATGAGGAAGAAGCAAAGCTGAGAAGGATTTTGAAGGTAAAGACAAGAAGCTCAAACCTGATGCAAAAGGAGAAAGTAGAGGGATTAATAAAGGTGACACAAAAGTCAAGCAAGGAAGATGATCTTAGCAGCTGCACTCTGAATGGACTAAAGAGGGGACAGTGTGAATATCAGGAAAGTTGGAGAACAATAATCAAGGCCGAAGATGCTGAGATACTGGACAAGCATTTGCACTGAAAGGAAAGCCTTGTCTTAGAGCTGGTTTGGAGAAAGGAATGTCAAGATTTGGACACAGCCTGGATATATACGGCAAGAGACAGGGAAGAATTGAAGATGACCCCATGCTGCAGGCCTGGATTACATAGTGAAGAGTGGTGCTCTTCCCACAGAGAAAGGAGGGATAGAAAAGGGGTTAGGAGGAAAGATGAGGATCCCGGTTTTGCTCCACTAAGCTCAGGTGACTATGAGGCAACCAGAGGAGATGTCAGAAAGTCATGGAAAGACAAGGAATTAGAGTAACTCTGTGATTCTTCATCAGTGTAAAGAAGATTGTTAAAGTGTGAGCAATGGGATCTCCAAGAAACAGTTGGAGGAGGCCTCGGGGAGCCTCAAAGAGTGTGAGAGAGGGGATGAAAGGCGGAAGACACAACTATATTTCCATAATCTACAATGCTCCCTGCTCCTCCCCTTCCTGGGATATTCCATATTCCTCATTCTTGTCAAGCTTGCCAGTTAAGTCCTGATCCTGGAAGTGTTCAGTAAGTGCAGATCAACACATCTCTGAAGCACCATTGACTTCCTACCTGTATGGAGCAACTTAAAGGATTGGGGCCCTTATACGGTACAGGCTTTAGGGCAGGAACTGGTTTTGTGTGAGAAGCACCTGGCATACTGATAGGTGTCTGTACATGATTCACCTCCCCAGAGCACCCGCTCATAACTAGACCCAGTATTGCAGCACTCTGCTTCAGTTTCTCCACAACAGTCATCAGCCTACTCCTCCAAATGTCGAGGTGACTGGCTGTAGTGACTTGGCCCCTCCAGTTGTTAAACCATTAACAAAAGTCCACCCTATCAAGGGAATCCAAGTCCAAACCAAACAAAACATGAACTCTGTCCTAGTCCTAAAGTGGGCCCAGCTCCTCCTTCCTAAAGTGTCTGTCTTCTCTTCTCCAACTTCAGGCACCCTTCTCTCACTCTCTGGATTCAGTTTCTGCCTTCCCAGGCTCTTTTCCTGCTCTCCCTTCAGCCTGTCCTGGGCTCTCTTGGACTATTCCCTGTTCTGTACCAAGCAGTGATTCCCAGACTTCTCTGTCTGGAGCCTTCCACAGCCCTCTGTCTGCCTCTACAGCGCCTCACTGCTGGGCTTCCTTCCTCCTAAGATTGTAGCTTTGCAGGTGCAGGCTTTGGAGGTGGTGGGCAGTTGCCCATGACAACCCTCTAGGCTGGGTCTGAGAAGGATCTGAGCCATTTCAGGGCATTTCCATTCATCCCTGCAGGATGCTGAAGGTGGGGCAGGAGTCAGCACTTAATTTGTAATTGTAAAGAAAGGTGTACCAGGGATCATGCAATTATTTTACTTTCGTAACTGACAAAGCAAGCTCAGAGGTGATGGGACTCTCTGCTTCTAGGCCTAGAGCATTAAGCTGGGAAGAGCTAACTTAATATGACTGACTAGCCCAAGACATCAAACCTTTTGAAGAGGCAGCATCTGTCCTCAGTGATCTCTGACCTCAGTGCTCAGTTTTATTACTATTCAGGAAGGCCACTATCCCCAAATAAAATATGCTTTTGCTGTGAGACTCTGTGGCAGTAAAAACCTTCTCCCCACAGAAAGGTGTCTTTTCCTCTCTCCCCACTGTATAAAAGATGCCTTCAAACCGCTTTGACCCACCTGTGTTTTTAATTTCATTGCTTTCTATTTTTTAGTTCCTTATCATCCCCCATCCCATACCCAGCCCATTTTTGCCCCTTTTCCCATAGCCAATATCATTCATGTAGGCCACTGGGGGTTCTGTCACAATGATTTGTGGCAGATTATGTTTACACCTGTTGCAGGGCTGTGACCTCCAAATGTCCTAACAATATAGAGTGAAATCCTGGCTCTGCTGATCCAATGGGTAAAATTCCCATTAACTGCATTAGGATCAGGATTGCAGCACAAATTAATGTTACCTTTGAATTAAGGATACTAAAATGGACATTCATTGATATTCTGTTTAATCTTGGCTCACAGGGGAACAAGCTCTCAAATGAGAGAAAGTTTTTCTCATAGTACCCAAGGAACAGACCATGCTCAGGAAAAATGCCTCCATTTCAGCTGCTGAGGAATGTGTCCATTTGCATCCAACTCTAAAACTCCCACAGCTGAGCAGAATTGGTTGGTGCAGCAACCCAGTGCTGGGGGAATCTAGACTCTGCTCCCTAGGGCCTGATCTTGTGCCAACTGAAGTTGATGGCAAAGCTCCCATTGACTTCACAGCTGCAGGATCAATGTCCTAAAGCTACGGGACTGATATTCAATAGACCAGACCACCTCCTCCAAGCCCCACGTTCTGTGGCGTAAGCTCCACTTGCTAAGATGCAAGCTCCAGGCTCCAAGCAATAGGGAGAGCTGCACTTCACATAAGCTTCCATTTACTCCCAACAACTACAAGGAGGAGGAAGAGGAGGAAGCACTAATATCCCTGTCCTCTGAAATAACAGGACGGGGGTGGGGGGATTGTAGACATTTGCTCCTGGGCAGTGCAGTGCCTGCTTCTGTGTATCTGTACATAGCAATTAAAAACCCACTGCTGGCCTGTGCTAGCTGACTCAGACTCCCAGAACTCAGGCTGAGGGGTTATTTAATTGCAGTGGAGGCATCCAGACTCAGGCTGGTGCCCAGGTTCCAGGATGCTGCTAGATGGGAGAATCCCACAGCACAGGCTGCTATGCAAGTAGGATCTCTACACTGGAACTAAACATCCCCAAGCCCGAGCTCAGAAGCCTGAGGCAGCTAGCATGGGCTACCTGTGAGTTTTTAATTGCAGTGTAGACATACGCTCAGTGACAGCAAGGTCCTGATTGGGATCATTATCAAACCCTCCTGCAGGAGATGGAGGAATTAGCCAAACTGTTTCAGCGAGAGATTTAAAATCTTTCTTCTCTTAGAAACTATCCCAATAAGGTATACCGGGCAATGCAGATAAATCTATTCTTTTGTATTGAGTGTTTAGAGCAGGCTGCCTAAGGCAGCATGAACTCAGGATGGGATCTTATCATGTATGTATATCAATTTCAATTAATAAATAAAATTACCATCTCCTGGGCTTCTGTCTATGCAAATGAGGAAAGGCCTTGGCAGGCCCTGAATAGTGACTGCGACCAGCCTGCCATGCCATTTCATCCCAAGCACTATACAAGCTGGGAACAGAAAGATTTGCTCCACCTACTGTTGCAAGGTCCCCATGGTAACTGGCCACTGGACGGAGGCTGCTTGCAATTCTGCACAAAACCGCAGCTTCAATCAGACACCAGCTTTGCTTCTCCAGTTTTATGGCCTCTCGTCTCACGCTTCGCCTCTTTGAAAATTAAATTTATGAGCATAGCTGTGAACTTTACTACCTCGCTAATTTTACTGCTGCCCTTGTCTGACCATTTTGTGCTGTTCATTACCAACAGACTAAAAGGAAGAAGGATGAGGCTGAAGAAACAGATTCCAGAATTATTGAAAGGCCTCCAACTGGAAGGGTTTGGTGAGGATAACCACTCAAACCTGTCAGAAAAAGGAAGGAGTGAGAATGGACAGGATGCTCCAGCAGATGCCAGAAAACCACAGACAGGCTACGTCTACACTGGCCCCTTTTCCGGAAGGGGCATGTAAATTTCACGAGTCGTCGTAGGGAAATCCGCGGGGGATTTAAATATCCCCCGCGGCATTTAAATAAAAATGTCCGCCGCTTTTTTCCGGCTTTTAAAAAAG